ACTCACACACTAGCTCGGCTGTAGGAAGAAGAAATGGGGCTAAAGAGACTGATATGGTTTGATCCAAGAGGCTAAGAGATGTTTAAATAGGGGATAATTTTGGGATTTAGGGTTTTAACCCTCTGATGCGTATGCCCAGCGTACCCTTACGTACGCCCAGCGTACGTGAGGCTTCTCCACGATCATTCATGCAGAGTACACCAAGAGTACTCATAGGTGTGCCCAGCGTACTCAAGAGACCAATTATGCTTAAAAGTAAATTCTTGAGGGTTTCAAGACGTACCAAGTTTAGGGTGTTACATTCTAGATCCCAGGTCCTTAGTTTGTTTGCTCACTAGAATGTCCTTTCTAAGGGTAAAGTTTTAAACTTTACCCATTCATAACTCTTCTTAAAGGGTTTAGTCAAAACCCTAATTCCTTTAGGACATGGATCTTGTCCCAAAAGCCTTAGAATCTCAAATCCACGCATGCAAACCTAGATTTAGGGCCTAGCTATCAGATAACCATGAAAAGTCTCATGCTTGCTTCCATGCATGGCCTTTTTGAGCTCAAAAGGCCATAAATACATCTTTAGCACTTGCATGGGAGTTCTAAGGGCATAAAGTTTGCACCTTTATGTCCTCACAACCTCTCAAGGCACTAGATCTGGAAGAGCAACTCTTGGGTCGATCCTTATCTACAAGCTAGCAAATCTTGGACCAAAAACCCACAAAAAGAGATCATAAATTCAATTTCCCACCACGTGAATCACCAAAAAGAGAACCCAGGTCATCTTCATTTGATCGACTCAACTTTCTCATGTTCTCTTTCTTCTACTTCTTCAAAAAGCTTGAAACCTTGAAGAAGTCAGGGACATCATCTTCAACATGAATTGGTTGAGTATCTCTAGATATGGCACCATTTGATGTTTGAAGCAGTTTAAAAGGCTTTTGATATGGTTTTTGAAATGTCTTGAGCATGTCCTCCAATTTCTTGTTGAACAGTTTCTTTGAAGGTTTATCCATAACCTTCATAAATTTAAATTGATTTCATTTTAGTTATTTTAGTCACACATGATACTAATTACACATAATGGATACTTGTAACCAAAACGTTTACAACATACAAAGATTTTGCTCCCCCATTCAAAAACTGCTTATAGTTTCCGTTACAACCCTAATGCCTAAACCCTAGAAATGTGAAGAAGATATAAAACCATACCTATAGAACTCGTCAAGAGATGAGAAAGTGGAGATAAGCCATGGAATTATCCTAAGCAAATTTCTGGACATAGCAGAGCGAGTATCGAACCAGAACGTCCAAGAAAGCTCAAGTAGATGCTATACTCTGGTCATACCATGCATGGAATAAGAGGAAGGGGATAGGGTATCCCCACCATGACCGACAAACCATATGCTTGTTGAGATCATTTGTTCCTTCAATCGATTTAGGTATGGTTGTGGCCGATGGAAAACTATTGGTGGAAAACAGTGGCAACACATTAGGAATGTAACACGTAATAATCGAAGTCACAAGACATTTAGCAAAGATGACCCCCAAAGCTAGACCCAACATTCTTCAATATGCCACAACCGCACACAAGGATCTAGAGTAGAAGTTGGACGATTTTGACATGTCTAACCTAAAAGCTTACCTGCTTCGCATACTGAACGGAGCAACGAACGGATAATAATCGATTGACCCGATCTTTATATTGATCGGGAGAGAATGGAGTAACGAATGGAACGACAATCCTAAGACGAATCAGTAGGCGGTGGAATCTATTTAGGGCTTAAACAAACAATATGTTTGAGGTATAGAAGAAATAGAACATAGTGAGGCTTAGAAGGAACTGGAGGTTTAGTGATCGTTTCAAAAAGAAGGATATATACGAAAGAAACAGAAAGTGGTGGAAGCAACTGTATTTGATTTGTCAAGGAGGTGGTGAGGAAACGTGGATGAAGGGTGAAGGAAACGTGGAAAAAGAAGAAGTTGAATAGATAGGAACATTACACGTAGCAAATAATAGATAGGAACATTCACAAAGGTACCTATATATATACATATATATATATATATATATATATATATGTGTGTGTGTGTGTGTGTGTGTGAAAACTGCAATAAAGTCCTTACAAATTGATCTCATAATCGATTTAGTCATTATATCTTTTTTTATTCAATTAAGTCTCAAAAACCGGTGATCGTGTACGATTTAACTCTTTTACCCAGACAAAATGTCATCTAACTTGAAAAATTACATTTTTTTTGCATTGATTTCAAATTTTATTTCAAATTTGGTCCAAAATTTACACTTTTTGACCAGATTTTAAATTTTATTACAAACTTGGTCCAAATTTACCCTTTTGGCCTAAATTTTAGAATTTTGATATGAATTCATCCTAAATTTTGTTTTTTTACAACTTTTTTTCTCAACATTTTTGTTTCTAATATGTTTTTTCTTTATAAATATCATATTTATACAAAAAAAAAAACATACTTTTACATAAAAAAAACTTATATTTTTATATAAAAACTAAAAAAAAAAAGCTTTTTTGTATACGAAATACTTATTTATAAAAATATGTACTTATTACGTACATAAATATATACACATCTGGTTTTATAAAAACAAATGTATGCAAACATGTATTTTACGAAAACAAAATGTATACAAATACCTATTTTATTATCAATATATTTGTATGCGTACACACACACATATATATTGTTTGGCAGTCAAACCAACAAATAATGGGATAAAATAATATTAATAAAGCTCAAATCACTGTTATTTCTTATACTAAAGATAGTATAGAGTAAGCAGGGTCGGTCCACAGGAATATAGGACTTCTTATCTTGCCATATTTTCACACATAATACAAATATTATTAAAATGGGGGATTGTGTTTGAACTAGATTTAAACTTCATAAATAAACAATATTGTTAACACAATTTAGTATAAGAAATACATTTTCGATTCTGATTCTTATACATGTATTATGTTGAAAGATGCAAAATGAATATGATTATGTTCTATCTAGGTTGGTAATTTAGATACTAATAAACTCTAATATCCAAGTTTACAAAAAATGTTTTATTCAAAACATGTTCTTCCAATAAAACTTCATTTAACTTATTTAATTCAAATAAGCTCTTTCATCAAATCATTAAATGACTTTAAGTTCTTGCAACAATTACCAATAATGTTCAATATTCCTCATAAGCTTGGGATTATGAACATTTAATCTTTGATTACACTCATTTTGATTTAATTACAATCAATTAAGTGCATGTTACTAACATCAAATCATAAAACATATACAAATTTTACAATTTGATTAACTAGATTGATAAGAACCCTAATTCATTGATCAAGTGAAAAAGAGAATAAACCAAACACATGATTAAGATCAAATCAAAGATTACTAGATGTTAAACACAAATCAAGTTCAAGTTACAACCTAACACATACTTATGAATTTAGATTCGGAAATGATAATGAAATCAACCACACATGTCTAGGTTAAACTACAAATCAAACAAGTTTAAACTTCAAATTGACTTACAAAAAGGAAATTAAAGTGTTTCCAAGTGTTAATCTACTTCCAAAAGCTCTGAAAATCACCTTCTCTCTGCCCAAATCTGACTTAACTTCCAAAAAAACTGATTGTCTGAATTATATGAGAGTAAAACTACTTTAAAAACTGTCGAGACGTTTACATGGCCCGTGTAAATTAAAGGGTGCCATTTACACGACCGTGTAAACAAGAAAAGTAGAATGCTCAATCCTTCCAGGCCTTCGAAGTAGAATGCTCTTGTATATGCGTTTACACGAACCATGTAAACTATAAGTTATCATTTACACGGCCATGTAAATACCTGTGAAACCAAATTCTTTATTTCTTCATTCTCTCTCTTCAATGCTCCAAAACTTCTGAAACTTTGTCTCCAACTCTTTTTAACTTCCTCCAACAAGATCTAACATTCAAAAGTCCCTGAAATATTATAAAAGTGTGTGAATGGAATTGCATCATGAAAAATCCCGAAAAATATGCAAAATGCATGAGTTTAAACCTAAATGCAATGCACTTTTATGAACTAAAACTATAAAAATAATGCATGAAATGCACCTAACATATATATATATATATATATATATATATATATATACACACACACACACACTTCTATCTCATAGTAAACGTATATATTTCTTTTGTAAAAACATATTTATATACACCCAAATAAGTGTTTTGTATACATTTCTTTTGTGAAAACATATATATATATATATATATATATATATATATATATATATATATATATATATATATATATAGAGAGAGAGAGAGAGAGAGAGAGAGAAAGAAAGAAAGAGAGCTAGGTTCAGGTATTTAAAGTAATTATTGTGTTATTGTATGTACCAATCAGATTTTAGATAGATTAAATCATTTAATAAATAATATAAGGGTATTATAGTAATCTCATTATTAGTTAATTATGGTAAAATAGATATATAACTGGATATTAGTTGTATTCCTAGTAAATTGCAAGAATCACAGATATATTTATAACATTCAATCAACATCAAGATTCAAAACCCTATATTGAAGTCAGTATTGTTTTTTCCTTCTTCACTTCTCAAATCCGATCGACACCTCCCAAAATCACACCTCTTCTTCTTCGTGTCTCCTCCCTCCGGTCGACAGAAGCCAAATGATTGCAACTCCCTTCTCTCTTCTCCAATCGATTGATGAAATTAACAGCTCCTTAATCTTGCTGATTGATCGGACGTAATTGTCTCCCTTTTCCTCCTCTATTTCTGATTCGAATAGCACCACACTCTTCTATTTTTTATTGGCAGAATTGACGAATGCTAGTGGTTTGGTGGAGGTTAATGGAGTTATAAGGTTGGGTGTTTGGTGATGGTGGTGGCTAGAAAGTGGTATAAGGTGGTACTGAGTGGTTCGGTGGTGGCAGTTTTCACAAGACAAAGGGAGGAATAAGGGTGGTTTTGATGGGAACAGTAGAGAAGGAAGTAAACGAGGGGAAAAGGGAGGACCTCTGGGGTTTGGCTAGATCGAAGGAAGAAACAACGAAGCTGCATTGGCCTTCGGTGGGTGCAGATGGGAGTTGTAGGGCGGCAGTGGGTCATCTAGGGTGGTGGCAGTTGGCATTTTCGTCTGCTTTTTTGAGGTTTGTTGCTATTTTTTTTTCTTTGCTTGTTTTAGACAGAAATCGATAAAGGGAAAAGATGGGTGTTTGGGTTTGTTGTTTTTACAAGGAAGAGAACATGAAAATGGGGCTATTGACCATTGAAACAGAAAGGGGAAGGGGGAGTTGCAGTAAAACAGGTGAGCAGGGGGCTGTTTCTACAGCCCCTTCATTCTTTATCTTTTTTTTGTTTAATTTTTAATGGTAATGAAAGCAAGAAATCAGTGGCTTTTGCTTGTGGAATCGGTGATGAGCAAGGATGACCAAGAGATGGTTGTTGCTCTTTTGATTACTGGGAATTTACCCATCTCTAGTGGTGTTCTTTAGCAGGAAAACAAAGGAGAAGAATAGGGAAGACTTTTGTTGCTTCATTTGAGAGAAAAGAGAAGGAAAAACAATGGTGTTGATCTCTTCTTTGATTGGGTATGTTTCTTTTGATTGGGTTTTACTAGTTAAATAGATAAAGAAAATCAATTCTATTGATGATCTTATTGTATAGTTGTGAATTTTGATAGATATGGAGTACATTGTGATCTAAGGGAAAGAAAACATAAACGTGTGGTACAATTCTTGAGATTGACATGAAGAAGATAAAAGGAATCATGAATTCCAATTCTGTTGGAATGGAATCATGAATTCCAATTCTGTTGGAATCTAAACTACAATTTGGTTTTGTTTTCACAGAAATTAATGCTTGAAGAACGGACTGCAAAATTGAAAGTGATTCTAAGCAACATTATTCTTTTAGAATGTATTAGTGTCGTTGTTAGATTTTGATGTTTTCTTTCCCGTTTAGAAAGTTTTTTTAGTTTTATTCTTTAACAATAAATGTAATTCTTAACAATTGTTACCCGTATTCTATAAGAAATAATGTATTCTTTGTTTTTATTCTTCAATTACTTGTTCAAGAATTTGTTATTCTACAAGAAGTTTTTAAAGTCATGATCAAGAAATAGATTCAAGAATATTTTTATTATTTATGGTTCAAGAATATTTTTATTTTTGAATATACTCAAAAACACATTCTGTCAGAATGTCCGAATTAAAAGAATTATAATTCGTAAAATCGGAATTTTAAAATTAATAAAATTTATGATCTCTTAAAATATGCAAATTTCTTTTAAAAAATATATATTAATCGACTAAAATACCCTTGTAATTAAATCAGATGACATTTTTCATTTATATTTAATTCAAAAATATATATTAATCACTTTCTTAAAAAGAGTAAAATTGATTAGCCCACATTTATGCATACAATAACATAATAATTACTTTGAATAGAATAACCTAAGTCTCTCTGTCTCTCTCTCTCTCTCTCTCTCTCTCTATATATATATATATATATATATATATATATATATATATATATATATATATATATATATATATATATATATATATATATATATATATATATATATATATATATATATATATATACATACATGTTTAATATAAAATATTTGTTTGTATACAAAAAAAAAATTATATAGAAAATATAAGTTTTTATGTAAAAATATGTTTTCTTTTGTATAAATATGATTTTATAAAGAAAAAACATATTTAAAACAAAATTTTGAGAAAAAAGTTGTAAAAATACCTGAATGTAGGATGAATTCATAACAAAATTTTAAAATTTGGATCGAAAAGGTAAATTTTGGACCAAATTTATAATAAAATTGTAAATTTTAGACCAAAATTATAAAAAATAAAAAAATAAAAAAAAAAATTAAAAATCTAGGCAAAAATGTATTTTTTGAAAGTTGATGACCTATTAGCCGGGTAAAACGGTTATATTGAATATGAAAACTGGTTTTTGTGATAATGACTAAATCGATTATAAAATTAATATGTAAGAACTTTATTATAGTTTTCCTTATACATTATATCCATTATATCCGATGGTTTTCCGAAAGTACAAAAAATGAATATTAAAAAAAAAAAAAAAAAAAAAAAAAACTGATATCTTTTATGCCGCCAATGGATTCAAATTCTAGAGTCACTGTTTCTGACATTTGCATCTTTCAAGTATTACAAAGTATTACTGTGCTATGTGGTACTTTTATATTGGTATTCCATATATTTGACTTGTAGATGTTTTGGATTTGTAAATGATTTAGGTATTAGAAATTAGAAACATATCCATTGCATTAATTGAAGTCATTGAATTATTCTTGATGAGTTTAAAGAAGTTTTAGCGATAACGACAATCTTTATAAAAAAATACAAAAAGGTAATTATAATAATTTTATTTGGAATGGGTATTCGGGATTGATAAAGAACCAACCCTGGTATAGGACCAAACTTCCACCATACTATTTTAAGGATATACAATCACAAAAATTAGCTAAATTCCGGACCCACCCGTTTACGTTATTTGTTAAACAACTCACACCCATCTTTGAAAATTCTATAATCTTATCTACTTTATATACAGTTTTAACTTTTACGCAAAATATGCAATTGATAAAGCAACGACTACACAGCCATGTTGTAGACATTGAGTAACAAACAACACCCGAATAAGTTGACAACTTTGAACGGACGTTGATATGGTTGACAGTGTCACCGCCACCCACCCCGTCGCGATTGACTCACCGCTACTCAACAACTTCGTCGACGGCGTTGTCGACTACAGAGGGCGTCCGGTTCTCAGATCCAAATCCGGTTGCTGGCGATCTGCATATTTCATAATCGGTAACGTCAAGTCTCTCAGCAATATTCTAAAATTAGTAAAAATGTTTCAGCATTTAACGTTTTATGCAGGCGTTGAAGTGGCGGAGAGATTTGCATATTATGGCGTCAGTTCAAATTTAATCACATACTTAACCGGTCCCTTGGGGCAATCTACGGCTACGGCGGCGGAGAATGTCAACGCATGGTCTGGAACGGCGTCGCTTCTTCCTCTCCTTGGCGCTTTCATTGCTGATGCTTTTCTCGGCCGATACCTAACGATCATCATTGCTTCTCTGCTATATGTTCTGGTTTGCATCTTTTCATCTTTAGTTTGAATCAATCATTCTACACATTTGTCTACCATGTTCTAAAACTACATCAGCAATTATCACTAGATTAAAGAGATAGGATTTAATCATGAATTGGTTGCTCAGTTGATATCACCGGTTATCGAATTCGATGAAGTATTATTAAATTGAATTTTGAGAAATGTAGATCAAAGGATTCTAACGAACCAGTGGCTTCAGATGCAAAATAACCCTAATAACGTTGATTACAATTAACAGGCGCTTGCGTTTCTGGCTCTTTCCACTTTGATTCCTTCCAATTGTGAAACCGCCAATGGTGCCTCGCCATGTTCTCCTCAACTCCAAGTCATCCTGTTCTTCATCTCACTATACCTTGTCGCAATTGCCCAAGGTGGCCACAAACCCTGTGTTCTAGCTTTCGGGGCTGACCAATTTGATGCAGACAATCCACAAGAACGCAAAGCCAAAAGCTCGTTTTTCAATTGGTGGTATTTTGGATTATGCGCTGGTCCTGCTGTGGGAATTTTTGTCGTTAGTTACATTCAAGACAATCTTAGCTGGGTTCTCGGATTTGGGATTCCTTGCATCATCATGGTTTTTGCCATCGTCATATTCTTGTTTGGAACCGTCACTTATCGATTTGGAGAGAAAACCGAGGAGAAAAGTGCTTTTCTCAGAATTGGCCACGTGTTTGTTAATGCAGCTAGGAATTGGAACACTACACCTTCAAGAATATCATCGGAAGAGGAAGCTTCTGGAATCTTGCCATATCAAGATTCTCAACAATTCAGGTAACAGTAATTAGAATTTAGAACTCCATATTCTTGAATTCCATGTCGTTTTATTGGGTTTTTAATATCTTTTTCAGATTTCTTGACAAAGCTTTGTTTAAGGGATCAAACGAAGATGGAACTGTTTGTAATATAGATGAAGTGGAAGAAGCAAAGGCAGTTCTTAGACTAGCTCCAATATGGGTTAGTTGTTTAGGGTATGCAATTGTATTTGCTCAAACTACCACCTTATTTACAAAACAAGGCAACACCATGGACAGGTCAATCGGGTCAAATTTCAAGATTCCAGCCGCCACACTACAATCTTTCATCGGTCTCTCGGTTATGATTCTAATTCCCATTTATGACACCATCTTGGTTCCTTTTACGCGATCCATTACAAAGAAACCATCAGGTATAACCATGCTTCAGAGAATTGGAATCGGAATCCTCATTTCCATTGTTTCGATGGTGGTTGCAGCCGTTGTTGAGTCAAAAAGACTCGAAACTGCTCGTGAGTATGGATTATCAGATGATCCAAATGCAATGATTCCAATGAAGATATGGTGGTTATTACCTCAATATCTGTTGGCTGGAGCTGGTGATGTTTTTGCCATTGTGGGTATGCAAGAATTCTTCTATGACCAAATGCCAAGTGATCTCAAGAGCATGGGATTAGCCCTTTACCTCAGTATTATAGGGATTGGTAGCTTCTTAAGCAGCTTTCTGATCTCCATTGTTGGGAAGATGACAGGTGGCGATGGTGAAGATGGTTGGATATGTGATAACATGAATGGAGGGCATATTGATTATTTTTACTATCTTCTTGCGGGAATTAGTGTGGGGGTGTTTGTGATGTACATATATGTCGCAAGATCTTATGTTTATAATCGAGAAAGAGGCTTGTGATGTTGCTGAATAAGTGGTTTCTGTGAAAAAATATCAAACATGGTGTCATTGTTGTAAATTTGTAAAATGGTTGTATTGACCATTAGATGTATAATTGTTGTATATGTGTTTCTACTAATGGCAAATTTCTTTCATCCCAAAGGATCTCCTGGTTCCTGGTTTTATCAAATTGTTAGAATCCTAATTCTATGACCTTTTTTTTCAGATTTAAAAATTTAGGACGAAATTGGTAAAAATGAAACTAGCAGGATACAAATTGCGATAAATCAAACTTCGCCTATGGTTTTTGGTTTTTAATTATTAGTATAATAATAACACATGGGCCAATTTGTATTTTACTCTGTATAAAATAATCTGAAATTGAAATCGAGGTCCAAACGAGAATGCGTTGATAAGCGTGCCACTGAAATGGATGACAACGCCACCACCGGCTACTCCACCGGAGTCCACACTCCGCTGCCCAACAACTTTGTCGACGGCGCTGTTGACTACAGAGGTCGTCCAGCCGTCAGTTCTAAATCCGGTTTATGGCGATCTGCATATTTTGTTATTGGTAACGTTAACCATTCGCCTCCCCAAATCAAAATCGTCGTGAAAAGGTTTTTTCAACTTTTGATGTTTTCTGCAGAGAGATTTGCTTACTATGGCGTTAGTTCGAATT